CCCAGCAGCTCCCGTGGCCACCAAGCCTTCCCAAGGGCTCAAACGCTGCTGGTCCTGCTCCCAAAATCTCTCCAGCTTTGCACGGCAGCGTAGCTCTGCCCTACCCGGGTTGCTGGCCGCAGCATCCACCTGCTCACCTGAAAACAGCTTTTGCTGCCCTCCTGGCACTTAAACACCATGTGCTCCAACTGGCACTCACATCTCTGGATATTTTTATTTTATATTTAATTTTTTTTTGCCTCCAGATCACAGGCAAAGTGTGGCCAGGGGCTGTGAGCATCCAGCCGTGACAGTGGGAGGGAGGGGGTGGTCGCACGCCTCTTCTTGTCCCATCCAGCACCAGGCTGGAGATGCTGGGCGAGGACAGGCAGCCCCGCGGCTGCTGCTTCCAGGAGCAGCATATGAGGACGGCCAAATCCTGGCGTTCCAACCCCCAGGGATCCTGCGGGGAAGGGCCAGGGAGCTCGCCTGGCAGGGCTGTCCCGTAGCCCTGTTCTGGTGGCCCCGTGTCCCGCAGCGGGGCAGAGCTGTGGGGTGGGTCCGGCGAGCCTGGCTGGAAAAGTCACACATCCCGGGGAGGTCAGCCCACGGCCAGGGAGAAGGGATATACCCGCGTGGAAGTGTATTAAAGCTGAACGCTGTCACAGAAATGCCATTTAAGAATTTCTTTGCCATAAACCTAATACCCAACTGTAAAAAACGTGCAACAAAAGTTGATATCACTCCAGGAAAAATTATAATAAGGAGGATAGGAAGGGACTTTTTCCACCATGCAGAAGGAATGTGGATACGGTCTATAAAATTAATTTCCTCTTTCTTACTAAACAGTGCCTTCTGAGCAATTCAGATAAATAGCAACATTCATTATCCGCTGCACCAAAAATAAAAAAAAAAGAGGAACTTTTTTATCACTTGTGTATTCCTGCAATTATCTTGAGAACCCTTTTTTGTTGACAGCCAGGGGTCAAAAGCCGGTCTTGGTTTCACCTGATCTCATTGACTTCTGCAGAGACATTCCAGCTTCACGCCAACACAAGAGCCATCGGAGCTGAGCTCAGGACACACAATGCTGCCATTCACGTCAGGAAGACACTCGGCTCATGGAAAATCACTTCTCTTTCTGTAGACGGCATCTACGCGTATAATGGAAGAAAAGGACAATGCATGAAAATGCATTTATGCAAACAGCATTAATTTCAAATCGAAACGCTGTTCTCTGAATATCAACTGTGCCCCTGGCGAGTGGTTTTCTGCTAGGGAAAGGAAATGGGAAGCTCATGTGTTTAAGTGTAAATCTAGGCATGGGGGATGAACTTCTGGTGCTCTTAGAAATTTCAGGCTCACCCTGAAGCCTGAGTCACTGGGATTATTCAGGCCAACAAATTTTACCTGCCTATCGCCTTCCTGAACGTCCATTTGGTAACGTCTTTGAATTTTACTCAACAGTAAACGTGCAGCGAGTACCCCTGACTCTGTGGGCAACACAAGAAAAAAGTTGAACGTCCCCGTTCAGCATTAGCTGTTCAAACAGGAGCTGCTTGCAGGAACCGCGGAGAGGTCTCCCACGCTCGTATCTACACAAAATAGAGCTATAGCATCTTCTTTCTGCAAATATTAGTAAGAGCTAACTTGGTTTTGCAAAGCCTGTAGAAAGCAAAACCAAGCAGCAAGTGAGCATGGCCAAAAGCAAACAGATTAAAAATCCGCTTATTTTGGATGTGCATTTCCTTGGTGTCGTTGCCAGGCTGGGCCCGGGGCCCCAGGGCTGCCCGGGGCTCCTGCAGCACCCGAGGATGTCTCTGCACAAACACCCCCGGCTCCCGGCCATGCCGAGGACGTCGCACTCCCTGGATGCCACCCCGTGCCAGGAAACTATGGCTGGTAACATACACTGGGAGAAGAAAAAGGAGAGAGGGAAGAGCTTGGTAATGGTCCCCAAGACTGCTCAGACCCCCATCACCCCCCCATGACCCAGAGACGCTTCAGCGCTATTTTTAATTTAAGCATTTTGGAGGATTTATGATACAATTGCATGCAGATATTTTAACTCCATTTTAAATATTAATCCAGGTATCAGTGAATTCACCGCAAGCTTTGCTATTAAACATTGAGAAGAATGTAAAGATAAGCACTTGTATTCCCCTCTCGCCTTTTTTTCTCCTTTTTCCCCCATATTCCCCTCACCTTTTTTTAGTCTTTTTCCCCCCCCATTCCTCTCTCACCTTTTTCCTTCTTCCTTCTTCCCCACCCCAAGTGTGCAACTTTGGGGAGGAAGCCCCACCCCAACATGCAGAACAGGAAGCCCAAACTCGTCTGTTTTTCAAGAGTGAGTTCAGATTAAGACTTGAAACTTGCATTGAAACTGGAGGGAGGGGAAAGGAGGAAAGGAAAAGTCTCCTCCGCAAGTTATTCTGCAGCTTTGGCTTAGAGCGCCATAAAGTCATTTTGCCAGCAGTTTTGTAAATGAGCACAGAGAAAATGGTGTCCAGTTACAGGCACTCTGGCAAGATCACTCTTGGCAGATCCTGCAAACAGCAAATTTGCTTTGGGACTCTGTTGTTCAGACTTTGTTAATGTTCTTGAGCTTCATTAATTGTCATCACCATTTGTTTTCCCCACATTAAAACATTTTCCGCAGCACTGCGCCGCAACCAAGACTCGAGCATGTTTCAGAGGCAGGGGCGGCAGAATTTCCCCAATCCCCATCCTTTCTTCCCAATTAGGGCCCAGCCTGGAAATCTTGCACCGGTTTGCCTGAACTGGGGAAAAACCAAACTGCAACTTAGTTTATATAAGAAAAAGTCACAGATGTAACTATTTTAATGACTGTATTTTTAAAAAAAAAAAAAAAAAAAAA